TCGAAATCTCGTACATATTACTAATCATTTATTGTCATTACTCATCAAAAGAAGCATACAATAAAGTAGCGAAATGAAAAATTTGTTTTACGAATTACTCGGAGGAAAATTGCATCCTTTAGCAACCAGATTTATTGCACATTCAAAATGATGCAATCTGTTCTCTAAAAAACTCGAAATTTACTTGTCATAGTTAAAAATTCGACAATCCTTAAGATTATTCAAATCATTTAGTATATTCTTAATTTACAGCTTTTGATAACAATGGATTTTAAATATCTTGCCATTCTCACATTCATTGTGAGTCATATGATATCATTCAATATTACATCAGCAACAGGTAGACTTTTTGAATTTTTAAACTTTAAATTTGAATGAACTTTTTTGAAGTGGTCCATAATACATAATTAGGAAATTTGAATGAATTTACCTGCTTAAATATGTGAAGAACAAGAACATTGGTGACGAATTAATTAGAATTTCAGGTGGGACGGATGAAGAAAGACTCAGCGCTCCCAAAAAAAGAAAGACTGAAACTAAATTTCGGTATCCCAATAATAAACTAGTCTCTGCTCTTGGACAAGTGGGACATATAATTGTTCGTCACTTGCCCCGCAATGATTTAAGAAATCTTAGCATGTTAGCACTTTTCTTTTACTTATATATTATCACGCTACAGATATTCACCAAGTGTCGGGAAAGCTATTCTGTTGATCGTTGGATATTCGTTTATTGGATACTGTGGAAATTTGATTTGAACGTAGCTTTAATTTCGGTAATCCGACACCAACGTCAAAAAATCATGTTCGCCAAATTCTGTAATTTCAATTACTAGTAACTGTAGGAGATAAGGGAAATTGAAATGAGTTAATAAGCTATAACGAACTGATTGCAAATAATAAAAATAATGGATTTCTTCTTCATATCGTTTTACAGGGCAATCCCCATGATGTCTGAGCATATAAACCACGAGTTAAACCGTCGACGTAGAATACTGCATTACCGAGATGGTGAAATAAACCCGCCATATTTAAAGAATGCTTTGAAAGTCATAGATGAAACGAATTTCACCGGTTTTCAGGCATGTTACATTCTTTGTTCCTGTCAAGCATAATAATTTACTAAAAATCAGAAAGAACTTATAACAGACGATGATTTGACGACATAATGATCAAATTCGAACTTTAGTACCAAGAACCCTTCGCAGTGCCTTTTTGGAAACCATATGAAGCTATTTTGTTTGGAGGAGAAAAACCGATCAATATGACAGACCCGGAGGACTATCATTATACAGTACTGACATTCACGTCTCAGGAACATCATCTAGAAATACGCAGGGAACTCGTAACTGGTTAGGAAATTGTAACGGATTTTTGCATCATATGGCATTAAACCACTATTAAACAAACAAATAGTTCTAATTATATGATTTCAGCAGATATGCCATTCCTCCCCAATGAAATAGAAGGAAGTTCAATGAACGGAGTGATTATCCCATACGATTTATATGTATCCTCGTACATGAGCTTTTCTTTCTGGCAAGACGACGATTTGTTAGTCATCTTTTATATTAACAGAAGCAAACTTTAATCATTATCAAATTGTGCCAAAATCATCCAATGTTGAGATTTAATCGTTTTTGGTGCAAATACTTCAAGGATTTCTATTCCAAGCATTGCATCAATAATTGAATGTGGCAGTCGGATGGTCGTAATATTTAAGTGATACTGATAATGAAGTGGTACTTGAGTGATAATGAAATCTTTACCTAAATATACTAAGGATTGTAAACAGAAAGCATAATACCACAAACAGTTTAATTAGAGGGTGTAATTAGACTTAGAATTGAACCAATATACCAAGAATGTAATTCATTCTGCCTCAAAAGATCAATGCAAAACTCCATCGAATATTCAATATTTAATGTGTATGTTGATCTCTGTCATGCTTGTCTTTAACTGCAACAGTTTTTTCAGTGAATGGTTAGAAAAAAATCTGTTATATGACCCGAAATCCAATGAAGTGAGTTAATTAAAGCTTAATACATCCAATGTCACATGGCTTTAATACACAGTATGTCACACCCCGAAGCATTATGTTCATAGCGGAGTGAATTTTGCATAGAATTTCATTACTAGAGCTTATTAGAAGTTCGATCTTCACAACCTAATGAGATAATCGTAAATCCCAGGATTCAGTAAAGTTGGTCATTATGATTAGTAACGATCTGAAAAATACTGATGAAGGCGATGAAAGTGAAGCACTGGATGCAGCCAAAAAAATTCGAGGAAAAATTGGTAGCGCGCCAATTTGCATTGTTGATCAGCCGGATAATCGAAAGTAAGTCAGACTTGATTTTTTCTTGGCTAACAAATCAATCTAGAATGGAGTTACACCGAGAAGAGCTGATTACGACAATGTTCATCCACAGAATGTGTTTGATAGGATGAACATTAATTTCGGTATCGAACAAAAATGTCCTTCTTGATGCTTTACGAATAGGACGAATGCTATAATAATTATGGACAAACGATCAATATTTTAATATTGGCGTAACAAATATTTCATTTTCAGAGCATACATCAATGCCATAGGGGTGCCCAAAGCGTTACTCTTTTACGGACCTGACGTAAAAGCATCGACCCTTTTAGTAGAAAAAAATGATACCAGCGATATTTTGAAAACAAGATTTAAGAAATGGAAGGTTTGATTTGTTTATTCGCTCTAATTGTTTTTCAATTTACTTCAGTTTATTCGTAATCGTTAATGTTGTGGAGTCATTTTCTCGTTAAAAGCTTGTTAATTCTTCATACTTTTGACGTTTGATTGCTTTTTTACGTAACTTCACGTGTTCTTAATATTTATCAGAAATATGCTCGCTATAACTTTACTAAATGTGTAAAATTATCCTTTTTCTGCAGGAGGAATTGCTCTTTCTTAACAGTCATCAAGCAATAGCCTTTCATTTTACTGTGGTCAATAGCACTGAACCGGAGGATAGCGAAGAAATATTCAGGTAAGGTATCAAGAAATTGTAACTGTTGGATTTCCACAATTGAATTGTCATAATTGGATTTCTGTATTTGAATACGTTTATTTAGTTTTCGATAATTTGCAATTAATATCATTTTTTGTTTGCAGTAATACATTCCCAGACATTCCGCTGAGTACGTTACGTTTACTTGATGAATCATCATTGACTGGAGTTGACTATCAGATTGAAACAAAGTCTGATTTCTATATCGGTCCTGTGTATGCAATTGTTGGTTTTCGAAAATTTGTTGAAGAAAATCCAGTTACGGAAGATCTCTCCGAGGAAAATGATTGATTTT